TGGCTCGAAGACCAAAAATCATTCAAACCTCCACATTGATTGTAAGATTAGGTCGTTCATGACTTTTTCGGTTGACCTGCAGGGTTACCAACTGCCTCACTGGATTCCATGGCCCATCGGCCAGTAAACCTCGTGTTCAGCAAGGGTTTCCCGACCGAGATTGAAATCTCAGTTCGTAAGCACAGAAACCCGGGTTGATGACATTGATTTCTTTTCGCTTCAGAGTATTCTGCTTACGTACAGATGGGCATAGACTCCCTCAGTCTTAAGATCTCGCCACGACGACTGGCTGCACACTGACCTCGATCCCGCCATTACCACCTTTTGTTCAGCTCCATTCTGCTCACCGCCGACTTGCCCTCTCCTGTCTCACATGTGTTCCGTTCCCGCCCCTACAAAAATGCGAGCACATCTATTTGGCAGTTTGCACATCTTCCACTGCCGCTGGGATCGCCCGAATAGTTGGTCAGTGGTCTGCAGTGTTGTAACCTGAGTGTGCAAGCACGATCAAGTGGAACCGATTATGCGCTTTAGGTGCCATTGGCAGTTGATGGAGAGTGGGTCGTTCCAACATGTGTTTCTGCGTTTTTGTGCATGTCCACTGTTTGTTTACCTTGTTTGTACTGTTCAGGCAGCACAGCTATTCAGGACAGGCTTCGAAACCTCGGTATTCAGTTCCGTTGCTTGGTGCACATGCATGTGTTCCTTTCGCTCGCCTCGGTATTGGTGATGCTTCGCGCAGCTTCGGACTCTGTATTCACTGGGTATGTGGATGTTTCCCACACGTCTGGCTAGCCTCGGAGCAGGCCCATCCCGGCTGGGTGAAACCCCGCCCCAAGACTTCAGTGGCCTACGGTACTTTCACGACACCCGTTCCGTGCGCTTTCTTAGCCTCGAACTCTGTATTGACGATGGCTACCGCGCTGTGTGCAAAAAGCAGATCGACAAACCCACACCCGCAAAACAACATCCAATCATGCTATAGCATGACAGGATCCCGTCAACCCCATGCCTGCCGATGTATGCGCCATGTTGTGAAGTGTCCGCATGCGTCCTGTACTATGTTACTATGTGCAGGAGTGTCCCACGCATAATGTAGTTCCGCCGGAAGTCCGAAGCATAGCCACGTAGCGAACCGGAAAGCCGGCTGCGGACTTTCGCCTCACGGCCACCGCCACCAAAACTGTCGTCATCAGCAGCATCACCATGCGGGTGTCGGATTTACGCCCTCAGGACGTGCCATGCGGGAGCCCAGAAACAGCAATCACCAGTTTTGTCCTCGCCAGCTCGAAAAGACAAGGCCTCACCAGCCGCCGGAGTATTCAAGCAATGCCGGATGCTGACGACGAGGATCGCATCAGCCACATGGGAGTCAGTGGGGGGTTGCGGAATTTCGTTCTTCACGTGATCAGAGTTCGATCATTTGAACTGCTTGGTTTGTTATTATGGGGTGTGCAAAACCTCTTACTCGAAATTCTATCGGGATTTTGGGATGTTGCAAGTGTTGGCTTCAAGGATGACGAGTGCTTGCAATTGAGAGGTGGGTTTTGAGGAAGTTCGAGCCATTGACGTAATCCCCTTCGCCGTCTATGCACTGTGGCTCTTGCATGTGGATCCATGGCGGGATTTTGGGCCTGCAGTAAGGCTGCTTTCGTGAGGGTCTGCAGGCCAATGGTTACGACTCTTCGAGAAATGTACTGAGTACTGCCGTGTACAAATGACATCATGTGTTCGTGCAGGCAGCAAATCGGCCACGGTTGGTCGATAGAGCAAGCATGTAGGTCTTTGAGACTTTGCACGGCTTGGGCTTCGCTAGATCCGATGCACAGACACGACGTTTGCGTCGGCTCGAAGTTTCAGGCCTTCTGAGTACAACCAAGGTAACTTAAGAAGCATGGGTCAAGGCGTCTCAGTTCCGAAAGCGGGATTGGGCGTTTCCAGTGCGTGGCTACGGGTGAGGTTGTCAGGGAGATCCTTCAACTGAGGCGCCAGATTCCCGAGCTGTAGTCGACAACTCTTAGGCCTATGCTTGCTGGACACAGCTTTGGTACACTTAGGGGATTTGTGGCTGCAGGAGCGCCCGCTGGCTAGCACAAAGCGGCTCCAACGTGGCGGCAGCGGCTCTGACTGAGACAGGCATGGAACTTCTTAAAAGCTGTATTTGCCCTGAAGTTGCAACAGGCAGGACCTCTCTCACAATCTTCAGTCCGCTTACACCTCGATGTTGAAAGGTACTTCACAGAACAAATGCCCAGACACACACCCATGCGCTGCCAATGGTTAGGCATGTCGAGCTCAGATGCACGATTCAGGATTCTTCATCATCTGCATGATAGGGCACTAGTTCACTAGTGTAGTCCTTTTGCCGCGGTTGCCGCGGGCGCACAGCAACGCCTGGCGGACATCTTTGCGGTGCAGAAAAGCATGTTGAGCAAGCTGCCTTCGCTGTGTGTTGGAGAAGTACCTGACTCTTAAGCTGTTGCCGTTCATGCCTGGAAATTCCAAGACTGTGAGACTGCTACAAAGCCAACATCAGAATAGAAGCAAGCACTTCGGGTCTTGATCTCGCGAATAGGGATGAGTTAATGCCGAGAGGTATATAGATATCACGGTCCAACGCCGTGCAGTCGATGCATGAATCCGCCATTCGGTCCTGGTCAAGGTGGCACAGAAGCGAGGAAGCTTGTCCTACGTCCTCCCAAATGAAGCTTCAAGCAGCCATTCCTACGTTTTACGGGTCGCCAGCAAGCCCCATGTACCTGTCCACCTCCCGTGTGTAGGGAACACAGAGTCGGCAGGAGCTACCGAAGAAGCCGCGCCGGATTCGAGGAGGACGTTCTGCCGTGGTGGTGCAGGCAGTGCATTCTTCTGAAAAAGCAGCAGCAGCGTTAGTACTCGAACTAGTCGTAGAAGTCGTACAAGAAGTAATAATAGTAGTTATAAATGACAATAATGAGAATAATTTTGCCAGTAGTAGTCGTAATATCAGGTAGTCGCAGCAGGAGTAGTAGCCGCAGCTGCCGCAGCAGCAGTAGCAGTAGCTGTTGGAAATGAACGCCTTTTTCAGATCCCAGTAATGTAGGATCCTGGTAAAGAAACCCTGGGTCTTTATTCGGGTTCCTTATATGAATCCTATTATTTTGGGGTTATGGGCCCAGGGTTTCTTAATCAGGTTCCGACATTAGTATTCGTAGCAGTAGTCGTCTTCTTGGTTACTAGTAGATATTTGTAGTGAGGGGGACAGGAGTAGACAGTAGAAGAAACCAAGCATACCTAGTCCGATATGTCTGGGTCGCTGTTTAAGAAAACAGTGCCCTTGGCAGAGGCCAGGATGCAAGGAAACCGGTCAGTCAGTGAAAAGTGGAATTCGAGCACTGCTTTCGGCAGTTGCACAAACGGTAGGTTTCGGTCAGGCTCGCGGGGGTCTGGAGATTATAGGGCTATATACTTGGTGAGAGTAAGGCTGTGCAAGGCTGTGTGCACATTCTTCCTTCTTGCTCACAGGCTGTGTGTGGTCTGTGGAGCTGCAAAATCATAAGCCTTCCAACTTCGACTTAGAGTTGTTTGACACTCGGATGTGCATTTGAGATTCTGGGCGATCCCCACGCTTCGACTTAGCACTTTCGATTGCCATCGCTTCCTCCATGCCGTCCTTGTGACCTAGAGAGACTAGGCCTAGGGACGGCCTGACTGCCAGGCTCCTGGTCGTCAACCGGCTAAGGCGCCCGCACTGTGGGGCCTGGTTTGGCTGTAGAGAGGGCAGCGCTTGCAGCATGTGTTTCCCGCTGCTGACACAACTGTCAATACATGGCATACTTGCACCATCCTATTCCTCGGGCTCGGCAAGATAGCCATGCCTTTCGTGCAGACACAGGCCTTTTTCATGGCCTCGGTTGACGGATTCTTTCGATGCAAGGGGGCGGGGCACGGCAAATGCCGCATGAGCCTATAACTCAGAGTCCAGGGGAGGTCGGAACCCAGAGGGTGCCAGCAACATGCTTCAAACGCCGGACATGTTCATTCCCTTTGCATGACGTCCATTCCAGCTTAACGATGCTTCAGCACTGTAATCGACCATCACTGTGAGCGAGGTCGTTCTCTTCCATACTGCATGGGTGTACCCGCCATGCCGTGCAAGACAAAGCAACACCAAAACCATGACTCCCAGCTTGCGCTCGTCCATGTATAGTACTGGCTGGACCAGGTCGTCTGCATCTCTAAGCTTCCGGGTCAAGCTTCTTCTGTGTCTCTCCAGCCTAGTTGCGGCAGTTCGTTTCCGCCTCCGTACGTTGAATCTAATTCACCATGCCGAATCAAATCTTCTTGTACTCGGCTACATTAGATTGGCCACAGCTTGCAGGTTGTGGATACGCCAGAGCCACGCGAGAACTTGTTGAAGCAGTTCAAGACGCTTGTGAGGCATTTTATCATTCCACAGATCCAGCCTCCTTCTGGCACTGCCGGACACATGCGTTGCTTTTGCATCCTCGGATGTGGTGTGCACAATCGACTGAACCTGGTTTCGTTCTGTGAGGTTGGGCAGCAGAGGTTTGCGACACGACACGCGTAGCGCATAGCGATGTGGGGCACCAAGGAACTGACCATAATAAGATCTTGTGTCCTCCTTCTCTCCACAGCCCAGGAAGTGACAAGCGAAGACCGTTCGTCACGGATCTGCTGCGAAAAAGCCGGTCAGAAACGTGCGAATAGAAGATTTTCAGTTCAAGATTCATTTTTGAAGTAGGCTGAGGGATCTGGAACGCTAAACCGTCAAGCCTGAGCCCTGAGTCTTCGAACCTGAAACGCTTGCATTTAAGTGTGTACGTTCTGTGAATGCTTTCTCCGGTCTGGGAATGTCACTGAAGAACGAACGAAAGACCTATATGACATGCAGTGCAGACATTATCGCCAGGTATGAACCTGTTGAGATTTGCGGTGATGTGACCATGCAGCAACAACAACTCCTAAACGCGACGGACAGACGCCGACACACTGGGCAGGTGGTTTTCCGTGGCCCACAACGACTTGGGCCACCCATCAGGCTCTCTTTTAGCTGCAGTTGCCTCAGTCATCCCCTTCTTAAGGTCTTCGGCTCGAGGCACGGGGGGCTTGTGACTTGCCCTTCTCGGGCTTGGCAGGTGCAGCGTTGGAGGGACATCAAGAGACAGCTTGTACCACCAAACCCTGCACGACCAATGACAAGCCCTATGTCGACGTTGATGCTTCCGACCATGCATACATACACGTACATGCATGATTTTCATTCATACATACAGACAATCACGCACGCACACACACAGAGACAGGTATATTCGTGTCGTCAGCATGCTGTTGTGCATGCATACGTTCGTGCATGTGGGTGTCGGTGAGGCGCACCTATGCACACAGAATTGCTGCGTGCGCAGAAGCAAGTAATTGCATCCTTATGCCTTCTGCCTGTGGCGAACATCCACGTGCACTTGCCTTCGTAACGTTTCCTATACATGAGTACACGTGCAGGCACAGGAACACGTACACAAGCAATCTTGTTGGAACTTCTTAACTCTTGCACTCTCAGGATTTGTTTGGATCAGCTGGCAGCTACTCTTTACAGGACACTTCTGCACTTTCCGTCTGCACCTTTACAATTTCGGAAGGGACATACATATAACTCCGAGTTGCATGTGTTGGCTGCATGCACCTTGAACCGACAGCGTTTCTCGCAAGTTCTACTGTACGTTTTGCCCGAAGGAGCTCAGCCTTGCATGGAATCCCAAGATTAGCGGTGGCCGTGCTCTGAGCCGAAGGTTTCCACATCGACCCTTGATTCGATGCGAGATCATTCTCAACCTTATAAGCACCAAGAAACCACAACAGCAGCTCGAGTGCTGACACCAAGAAACACGATGATCCTTGTGCAGCATCAGCTGAATGCAGGGAACTAGTGCCATGACTCAGGTGAGATCTCCAACCTACTTCGTGCACTGGCTCGTGTTGGGCCGAAGGCAGGAACGTGGGGAGGGCAGGGAGGGATGGAGGGAGTGAGACGTTCGCAGGGTCCTGGGCCTTTCGTTCTCGCTTGCATCCTTTGCCGAGTGTGAAGCGTGTCGTATTTTGAGATGAGATATAGGCGCAGGCCATGTCGACAATTTCGAGCGTCAACTCGACTGTTTAAAGTTTGCAAGCCGGGCGCATGGCTGTTGCGGGTCGTGAGATAGCTCGAAGTCCGAAACCAGTGCAATCCCTGGTAATCTAGTCAGGCTAGAGAGGTCACAAGAGTCTTGTGTGCAGTCGTCGAATTTGTAGTCGTCGCATTTGCATGTTCCAATGTGGGCATGCCTCCCCTAGTGGTGTTAACTCCCGCAAAACCTCGTCTGACTTGTCGAGCACGAGTGACGAAAAGAGAGGTCACAAGAATTATGAGAAGGTCATGAGGATTTGTGGTATATGAACGTGCATCGAGGCCCAGCACTTCACGGATGTGTCATGACTGAGCTACACTGCTACTTGATGCCATGATATAGGGGCCTAAATATTTTTACCTATACGATTTTTTTTAGGGTGGGTTCCTGATTTTAATTATAGTATACTGGGTTCCAAAACCCTATTATAATTATTAAGGCCCATATACTATAGTACCCTATTGTAGATCCCTTATAGATCCCCTTCCCTTTACAGGAACCCTATTCAAATTATTAAGGTCCCTATAGTAGCCGGATTGAAGCTCCTGACCAGACCCAAGATGCAAGATGAACCCATTAAGCAAGGCCCCCGAGACATTCCCATCTATGCTACATTGATGTCTTATACTAAACTGTACTGTATTGCATGGTGTTACACCGTGGTATGTCATGGCATGATAGGTTGCCACAATACTACGATGAGAGCGTAGTCACTCGAAACTGTCTTACTACATACCATAGTTCCAAGTATAGTTACATGCACTAGCATATGAAACCATACTATGTTATATTACTTCACAGCATACAACATAATATAATGCCACCTCATATAATACAATTTCTTACTGTAATTCATAGTGTTACACTTTTTGTATATTATATTGCCAGAAGAAACTCGGAGACAAAACCATGAATGGACATCAGGTGGGTCGCTTGCAGTTGCTCGATGTGGCTGGAACCGGTGCTGGTCCGCAGGCAGGCTCCAGTGGACATATGGGCAGTTGTCAGCATTATGGTCCCTTCTTGGGTGCCCTGAGGGCCGAAATGGACGGTGCCGTATTATTTCAAGGACCCAAAATTGGCAACCACCATTATACCTTTTACATTTTTTAAACCCGTCTGGAATCATTGTCGTCGATTTGTTCGTTCGCTATATATATATATATATATATATGTATATGTATGTATGTATATATATATATACATGTGTATATACATATGTAATGTGCATATTATAGTTCCGTCTTGTGGCTGGCGCAGTGCATGTATGCGAAGGGGTCGTGTGTGGTGCAATTGGGCCGAACAGTCTTGAGCTGGCTTCAGCGTATGGTCGATTGCAAGAGCAACGAAGGGATCATGATCATGTACTTGGGGGTTTCCCTTTTATAAATAGATCACAATGGGCCCCAAAGCCCCAATTCCAATTGTTAAGGCCCCTATAGTTATAGTAGCTTGCAATCTCCGTTTTTGAATACCCTGCGACTCCTAGAGCCTATATGCGGCAATAGGATTGTGCTAACACACTCCCCCGGCGTGAGTAGCAGCTCTGAGTGAGGGCAAGGCCCAAAGCCACCTCTAATCCAAAACTCGACCACGATTTTATGAAGAGTTTTATGTGAGCACCTTGCTTCAAGCATGTGCCGTGTCTGCTGTGGGAGTGCTTCGCTGCCCCCGGTCACGGAACTGCAGACACCTAAGTCCTGAGTTCCACAAGCTCCTTGAAGTAGGCGGCTCGGATAGCCAGGGCCCTTTACAGAGAGAGTGCAGATTTCTCAGTCTGCAGGCGATTCCTAATAGAATTGCGTGGTGGGTGACCTGACCCTCATGCACTTGTTGTCCGTATGTACCTCATGGCTTGGATGAGACTTCACTTGGCAAATTGCCTTCAGGCCCCCACAACTTTTGAACCACGGTGATGCTTTCACCGAACCTGTCAGTTCACATGCATGTTATGACTGATGTTATGAAACAGTAGTGAGTATTGACTAGCCGAGCCGCAGCTGTTGATCCAAGACGTTTTGAGCTTTGGGAGCTGTGTCGGAGCACAAATTGCAGAAATGCTTCCCGAGTATGGATCACTCAAACGATGCCCGTGCCACACCGTCGCAGCGTGGTTCCATTTGGGCGGCAGCTACGGGCATACTTGTTGGATTAATCTATATCTCCATGACGTCTTGGCAGGCTGCTGGGGATGAGGAACAGGTTTTGAACTCAATTGACAGGCCAGGGGTGGACATATACTCGCCAGATGCTGAATTGCTCGACATCAATGAGGAGGGCTGCATCGTCGACCAGCTTCCACGCCCAAAAGTTGTTCAGGGCAGGGACGGAACCTGGCTAGAGGTAACCTTCCTCAATGGTGATCGTTCGGCAAGTGGATACCGGACAGACCCGGTTTGCAAGAACCCCTGGCAAAGCGATGAACTAGGACGGCCGATTGTGGAAGAAACGGCAGCTCTTCTTCAGCGAGCAATCCTTGTCGGCCACCCCAATGTCGGATGGCTCGACCCAAACAGCACCAGACGGATTCCAAGGCCATGCGCCAGGCCGGTTCCGAGGATTTTGCATTTTATTTGGCTCTGTTCGCCGCTGGCCATGATGCGGGCTCTCCATATTTTGGAGTTCATGAAAGCAAATCCCACGTATCGTGTATTCTTTTGGACCGACTCCCCGATACCTGATCCAGTAAAAGCGGTTCTCGATGCAGAAAGGGAAAATCGGGCAGCAGGTGGAATTGTGTACGTGGATGCTTATGCAGAGGCACGAACATTCAAGTCTCAAGTCTTGATTAAGTACATGGACGAACTGAACAAGGACAGCATGAATGCAAAACTCTGTGCTGTCAAGTCACACTTTTGGCGTTATGAAGCTGTAATGAAATATGGCGGCATCTACATTGACATGGACCATGGCTCGACGCGTGGCTTCGATGAAGTTGGGGGCCCGAATCTGTGGAGATGGCCATTCGTCATACACAAGGTGTGCGGTGCCAACATCAATAATCACATGTTCAGTGCAGGCAAAGGTTCAGGTTTCCTGGAGTTTGTGCTCAAGGTGATTACCGAGCGCTGCAGAAAGTTTGGTGCTTGCAGCGTGTTGGAAGGTACCGGACCCCCTCCCTTCGCAATGAGCGTGCTAAAGTACAATGCTTCCGACATTGGTCTTATCGGAGATCAGTTCTTCAAAGAAACGGGCATTGCAGAGCACATGGCGGAGCACACTTGGCGATGATCTGGCGATGATGCATCACGGATTTGCTCCTGTCCTGACAAGGCGATGGGCATCCCGGTCCCACTTCTTAACAACATGCCCCGGTATGCCTCGTTTGGCCTGAACCGTCACCTTCTGCCTGTCTCGGCAGACGATCATCTGCAACGAGGCCAGATCCCTTGGACATCCAGAGAAGGAGCATCTGCACTTGCGAACCAAATGGTGTGTGGGCGAGACGGATCCGAAACCCGAGCCCGGTTCAAATCGGTGAAGAGTCTCGAAATCTGTGTCGCGCAGAAGAGCCAGTCGGCCTCAAGTGGTTTACTTGAGGCAAGGAGGCGGCATTGCTGTGCCACGCTAGTTTTGCTTGGGAGAAACAGCCATCTACCAAATCACGAGACGGTGCCTCAACCTCATCTTGTCGTCATGTGACATGCCGTTTAGGTAGAATGTCAAGTGGAGGTGCTTCCGGCAGCCATGCGAGCGCTGATGCGCGTCGAAGGCAGGCTCAAGAACCTTGCGTGGGACGTCGGATTTAGAAAGCCGCACTTGTGGAAATAGCTGCAACTTGCAAAATACAGCTTCAGTCCTGCCGACGTATTGAAGCGAGAACCTACGAAGTGGGCATCCTGACAGCCTTTGGTCGGAACCGAATGCTCATTGCTACTAGGACCAGGAGCTTGTTCCAGAAATAGTTCTGCAAATAGAAGTTCGACAAGCCCAGTGCCCGTTTGAGCGTGCAACTCCGAATTGTCCTGCCAAGTGCCAGGACTGGTCGTCGACCTCTCTGGTTGTGAGGGGCTCGGAGAATGGAGAATTTGTGTTTGGGTTCCTGCGGGAGGCACTTACAGGTTTGCAGGGCTTCTGGGTCTAAAGTTTCAGCGTTTCAACGGTGACTTGGGGCTTGGAGTCATCTGTTATGTTGCTGTGAAAGTTGTGCTTCGGGAATTCTGGGTCCACGGGTACGGGCCTAAGCAGCTAGAGTAGAGTCTGGAGCTTTCTTCTCATTCCTCGGCTTCAGGTACAGACCCCCCCCGCCGGTGGCTGACACGATGCCAGAAATCCAAGAACCAAATCCCTCAAGGCCTTCAGAAGCACCTCTAAAATCAAGGCCGGCATAGCTACTGAGCATTGTCCATGACGGCTTGTCAATCCGGGGTCAAGTCTGTCGGATCTTTCGGACGGAGCAGAAAGTTGCCCTCAGGCAAAGCTCTCCAGTCCTTCCGCGACTTTTCAGTTTCAGGCAGTGCTGAGGCCCGACCAAGGATTCAAGGTTCAGGCTTTTGAGTCGCTGCAGACCAGATGCAACAAGGTTCAGGCTCTTGGGACAGAGGTCGAGTCCCTTGTCAAGAAGAGGGTCTGTGGTGCAAAGTGGTGCAAATCACAGCCACGTGGTCCTAATTTTTAATTGGGTCATCAATGAGTCAATTAGTGGGACATTACAGAAAGGCCTTCTCTAGCGAGAGCTTCTGAAGCTTCCTTGCAATCGAGCGCAGGCTTTGGAGATTGACCGCTGCGTAGCAGAGCGTCGACTTCTGCAGGGCTCCCGGTGCTTTGTGGGCTCTTGGGCGTTTGGCGCTGACACGGCAGCCCGCTCCAAGCACTTGGAAGACTGGCCCGTTATTGTTCCTACTTACTCACTGGGTTTCTTTATTTGCAAGAGCAGCACCAATCTGGACGGTCCCCGACGGGCGTGGAAAACGTGAAATTGCGAGCAGGGTTTTGCTTGCGCTGCGGTGGCGGGGCGGGGGGGTGCTCGAAGCACATGGCTGTTTTCAGGGTTCGTTTCGAGAAGTGCCACATCGACGATCGGTTGTTTATGTGTTCAACGCCCACCTTCGCACGGCAGGCTCCCAGCAGGATCTGTACGAAACTGAGCTGCAAGGTTTCTCGAATGCTGTCTGCACTCGAAAGCATAGCTTCTAGCTAGCTGTGCCTCGACGACAAATTTGAGAAACCGCGATGATAATTCGAATGTACATCCGGGGGTCCTCTGACGGCAAATGGCAAGGAAGAAAAGATCAGAAGCAGTTCTTTGCGTGGAGGAATATCCTCTCTCGCTCTCGGCTTCGAGACGTAGTGGCTCTGGCAACTGTGGATATAACTGTAGCTTTTATTGGGCGCTTGTCCCTTGATTGATCACAGAAGCGAACTTTGTAACTCCATGCTGGCACTGAAAATCCCCGAACTCGGCGCTGATCCTCGCCGAAAGCAGAAGGTAAGGTAAACCAGACCGGCGTGCACCCCTGAACTATTCAACCCAGACCCCCTTGCCTTGCAGCTCTCCAGAACCAATTACGAGCATCTCAGGTAGGCGACATATAGCCCTAAGCCGGATATCAAGGGCTGTCAAAGAACTAACGTACTACCGTCCGGCAATGAAGGCACCTCCTAGGTGTGTTCGCCTGCCTGGGATCCAATTTTTGTCGCGGGTCGCATTGAAACCGCTGCGGCACCGAGCAACGCTTAAGGGTGAATGGGCTGTTTGGTACTTCGTATTGGCGAGCAGATTTAGCGCAGGTCGACATGGATTACAACTAGCGATTCAGGATGAGCCGGGACGATGCCCCTCATTGTTATGGATGCATCCTCATCTGAGCGATAGATTCTTGGGACAAGTACCGGCAGAGGCCCTGAAGCTGAAAGTCTCGATGTCTGACCCGGAAGACTATTGCTGCTGAGCTTGGCATCCTCACACAGTGCTCCGACAGAATACACATCGCCAAAGCCACTAGATTCACTAGAACACCAACCCGGTAAGTTCTAATTTCTTCCCGTGCTTTAGCATGCGCTTCCAGACCCGACGCCTGTTTGATTTCCAGGTGACGTCGGTATCCTACAGTAGCTTGTGATCGTGCCATTCACGCGCCATGGTTGTCCACGTGGTATTCGCTGCCGGAATCCTATCAACTGCTGCGCCATGGTTCGCGGCACAGATGCTGTAGCTTAGGGCTTCAGGTTCGGAGGCCTTTCAGTCTTGTCGGTCCAGGCATGTCCAGGCCAAGTGACTAGTGTCAAGTACAAACACTAGGGTAGGCTTTTGTAGGCATCCTGCCCCTTTTGGTGGAACAGGCTGCGTACCAACATCAGCCGCAAGATCGAAGTTCTTCGTCGCTATGTCTTGCCCTGTCAGCTTACAGCCACCTAGAGTGATTCCCCATCCCAATTCTCGAAGCTCTGCGAACCGCGGTGGGCACTGCAGGTCGGCCGTGCTGCCAGAGGGTGCCAGGCTCGTCCCAGCATCTCGATCGACTGAGCACTGGTTTGGTACACTCGGCATCGTCGGATGGTCAAGATGTTCTTGATTGCAAACAGCTGAACGTTAGGGTCTGCATCTTCGTCCAGGCTCGGGCACGGGGCCTTGCTGCTGTCCGAATCTGTCCGAGGGATTGGGTCGTGACGCCACAAGGGCTGGTGCGACTAGTTGCACGAATTGGTGATTAGGAGCATCTTGGCATCAGGCGCCCTGACAAGTGTCATCCCAACAACCCTGTAGCGTGGAAGCCGAGGTGGAGTACCGGCCGTTCTGCAGCAGCGAGCCCGAGGCAGCTGTTGACTTCGCCAGCACGGCGGCGCTGAGGCCAAGGGTAGGATCATGAAAGACGGTGTAGGGGGCTTGATCTAGCTTGTCGTCTGATGTGGGCGCAGGTGCCGTTGTTTACCTCATCCGTGCCAACTGTACGGTACTGGGATGTAGCCTCTCTTCGACAGCCCTTGCATGACACAGGCTCAGCTACGGGGTTTTGTCGTATCTTCTAACTCTTGCGGTGCAACACTGTGTGCAAAGGATAAGGTTCAACCAAAGAAGTGAGCAAACAGCAACAGTCGACAACGAGCGACGGACGCTACAGCTACAGTAAGGATGACGACCTTGAATGCTGCACTGGAGCTGGACGGAATTGCAGCTGCGAACTACGCGAGTGCAGAGTCGGCGTCTCGTGCACATTTTCTGTCCCCGGGTCCGTCCCTGACCAATCAGTCGTCTCCACCAGGCTCGCTAAGCCCATGCGAGGCTCCTCTCAGAAGCCTTGAACCTGTCCGCCTCCAACACAACGTATGCGTTGGCCGGCCATTCTGCCGGAGGTGCTGCTGCTTCACGGCTATTGTTGCAGAAAACGTATTGGCCGTCGAATTTGCTGGGTTCAGCGGTTTTTTGTGATGTGGCTCGGGTGAGAAGGGAAGAGCCACAGAGGTTTACCAGAGCCTGGACTTCTTGGCTTTGCTCGCGGAGGACCCGAGCCGGGGCTTCAAAGAAATCCTCGGCCTGGCGGAGAGCTGCTTGCCGGAGCCCGAGGCAGAACCCAACAACCTTTTCAAGTTTCGAAATCACGAAGAGAAAAACCTGAAAGGGTCTAACAGTGCAACATCCGACCCTACGAACCCTGGGCGGTCAAAAACGTAGAGTACTCCACATCCTCTCGTGCCGTTGCAGCATGGGTCCGACCCATTCATCTTGAAGAGTCTTCACCTTAGGTTATGTTATGACGTCATATTATGTTACTTACAATATACTATATTGTAAGGTATGCGTTTTTACAGTTTGACAGTCTTTTGCACCTGATACAACATGTACACAATACATTGAGACCACAACAAGAGCCGTGGTCATGCTCGTAGGCCTCCTCTGCAGGTGGAAGAGCTGAAGGGTCGATTGGCGAGGGCGACGAAACCAATTCCGTGGCAGTGCTTTCATTCGAGGGTCCCTCCGCTGATTTATGGATGGGAAACGCAGGTTCTGTTTCGGGGTCTGGACCCGTTCTTGCGGCGCAAACGCATTTGATACTCGAGAGCCAAAAGTGTTGTTGTTGTTGTTGTTGTTGTTGTTGTTGTTGTTGTTGTTGTTGTTGTTGTTGTTGTTGTTGTTGTTGTTGTCTGTTCAGCCCTAAATCCTGCAACAAAAAAACACACTTCGTCATGAGGCTCCCTGATGCCCTGTGATGTCGATGGCTGGGCAGCAGACTGGGCGCTCAGCGCGACGCCACCCAAAGACGAACACTGGATTCGGCCGGCGCTCGAGGCTCTTGACTTTCAAGTATTTCAAGTATTAGTAACGGGTAACGAACCATACAGAAACCAACTTCGGCAGACTTTTCCTGCATTGTCTCATCGGAAACCTCAGCAACTAAAGCAATCGTCTCCCGCTATGTCCCAGAGAGGACCCGGGCTCCCAGTGGACTTGGTTCATGGCAAGGGCTTGCTGCCGCTCCTTGATGGAGCGCTGCGCTGCAGACCCACCTGTCCACCTCCGCAGTATTGCGCGGCCGGGACATGCAGTTGCGAGAATGTGAGACCATTATGATAATTTGTCAAACGATGTCAAAGGCAAAGATCGTCAGGGAGTCAAACGATGCAAGTCAGTGCGACGAGCACTACTATAGCTGAGGCAGTTTCTCCAACTCCCGGAGGGGCCACGGTTCTTCTACGTGGCAGGAGCCGAGAGTAAGAAGCGCAACGACGTTGTCTTCCCTGCTTTGAAGAAGGCTTCTGCAGGCTCTCCTGGAAGGTTGGAGCTCAAAGAGATCCCGCATGCCGGGCACAACATGCACCGAGATGCGCCCAAAGCAGCCACTCGGGTCAGATCAAGGGCCTCTCCTGGTTCGATCTGTTTTGTCTCGGGTAATAAAGGCGCTTCAATAATCGCCTACACTCTAGTATACCTGTTCTAATTATTATAAGGCCCCTGAAGTAGCCAGCTACAGCTCCAGGCTGACTCTGAGACTTAATCGAAGAAGACAGCTGAGATCACCTAGAATCTTGTAAAAGTCTGCGTCTCAGGTCAGGACGATCTTCAGTGAGGCATTCGACTCGCAGGCGACTTGGCCCCAAGTCCAGGAACCAGCATATCCGGTCAATGCCTAAAGGTAAAGGGCCACAGAACTTAGCAGAGTTATCGTTGGAATCCGCATGTGGCCCTCCTGGCATCGGTTCCCAGATGGTTGACGGTTTTTGCCAGGGTCTCACTTGTTCTTCATAGCTGCTACCACAATGCGCATCTGAGCCATCCAAGATTCGGACAGTTGCAGCGGCAGGCATGTGCGCACTTGCAACACTAGCAATCGCAAGGTTTTCCGTGAGCGGGCTGTACGTAGTACCGGTCGCTGGTAAACTGAGGCGCAGAATCTGGTCTGATGCAGAGGCGGACTGTGATCTTGGTGCAGCAGCCCACACAAAGTCAGGTCAACGAAGGGCAACATCTGAAATCCAAAGAGTGGGTTCTTAGTCTTCGATGACACAAACACGATCTTGCTGCAAAGCGACGACGTGATGACTTCGTCCGAACAACAACGTGTTCTGCCGAAATGCGCATATGTGGGAAAGCCGATTACGTTTGTTCCCGTATTCTTCGCTGATTCTATTTCTAGACGACTCGTACATGTAGTACGACTTTTCGACTCCAGCCCCCTGCAAGCTTCGACTACTCTCTATGTGGGGCTCTGCATATCTCAGACGGACCGGGTCGAGTTGCTGTAATGCACCGGCTTGGCTATTATTGACAAAGCACCAACAGCTGCCTTGGTTTGAAACGACACAGCTGCGACCGAACATCGAGCAGATTTTCGTTCATTAGCTTTGCTTGTTTCTCACGCCGCTCGAGATCCAACTGCTTCTTCTGAGCCACCAACGGTTGCCACCTGGCCTTAGCTTTGGAAAGGTCACGTGCAGACCTTGTCCCGAGCCCTACAACGAAGGGTCAAAAATTTGAAGTCCGTAAGTCAGCATCAGAAATGTTAAGGTTTTCTGTAGCTTGAAGGATTCCTGTTTCAGCAACTCCCCAAACCCTAAGTTTTTGCTCCTTTTTCTGAACAGTCCCAGGACCCTACACAGAAACCAGAACTGCCAGCTACGATTGCTACTTCTATCGCCGAAGCCCGGCACCCTCCAGGCCGCAGCTGCCGCGGGCTGGGCTCGGCACCCCGCCACAGCGCCGCGGAGAAATGGAGCTGACTTGACTTCGAGGGTATATTCTATCTTCTAAGAGGGAGGGAGGATAGTTTTTTTGTTTTTTTTAAAAAAAAATATATATATATATATATATGTATCGTATCTCTTAAAATCGTCAAATATCTTCTTTGAATTGTGTTTAGAGTTTTGCAAGGGGGATGGTTGTGGAGTTTCTTTTGCTGTGTCTGTTGTGGACGTTGTTCGTATTGTGTGTTTAGGGTGAATTGCGCTATATTTCAAAAGAATTATTAGATAGAAATTTATTCAATCTCCTCGCGGCTGGATTCTCTCTCTCCTATCTCCCTTACTCCCAGACCTCCCCTCTCTCGCCCCTCTCCCCTCTCCTCCCATTCGATGGAGCCACGCTAAGGCGGAAAAGTCTTATCTCGTCAAGGAAGATGTTGAAAAAACTTTCTCTAATTAGGAATACAATGAATTGATAATAGGTTCCCTATTAAGGATATTGAGTATTTGGCTCAATTTTAAATGAAATGAAATGCGTCTCGAAAGAACGACTCTGTGCTCCATCTGATTTGTATAAGCTTGATTGAGGGTTGAAGAAAAATCGAAATTATTATTTTTCTCTAAAAAATCCGGAATTATAATTCAACATTTTTCTTCTTAGTATTCTTTTCCCATTAGAAAATGACGTTGTCGTCCCGCTCTTCTTCATGGTCATATGAGCCTGTATTTGGCGTCGAATAGGTTTGGTTAGGGGCGAACTACAGGTAGGATAAGAGTTTAAATATAGAGATCCATTGCTGGGAGATAGGTCTTTGAAAGGCATATAGACCCTTATCAGTTGGCGATAGGGATCTATATGGTCGTCTCTCCTGTGTATTGCCACAATTTTCATGTGCCTGTAGCCAGTAGGGAGCGAGTGGAGGAAACAATAAATCAAATATCTACGTCCACAGGTAACTACGTAACGAGAATTCACAGCTCGTTCTGCACTTGGCAAATAAGGGAATAAGTATCCAGTCAACAAGCCGGTTGGTCCGTCAATCGATCCGCGAGCCCGCC